GGGCGAGGGCGAGGGAGAGGGAGAGGGAGAGGGAGAGGGAGAGGAGGATACCTGCAGCTCTTTCTTTTTCTCTTGCTCGAGCTCTTCAATCGCCTCCATGAGCTGCCGGTTTTGTCATTCTCTCCCCGTCCTCCTCCCTCCTCACCTCAGAGATTTCCCCGTCCTTGGCTGCCAGCGAGCCTTCAAGGTCATTCATCCTCTCCTGCATCACTTCGATCTGCTCGGTGAACACGCTGATCTGCAAACAGAAACTTTCACATCTCCTCCTCCTCCTCCTCCTCCTCCTCCCTCCCTCCCACCCTACCCCTTCGCCCCTTGCTCCCCCTTCCCCAACTTCCTTGCTCTCCCTCCCCCCTTGCTCCGCATCCCCAGTTTCTCTCTCCCCCCCCCTTTGCTGCTCCTCTTTCTCGTACCTGGCTCTGGTACATGCTCTGAATCCCCTCCCTGCTCTTCTCGTTGGTAGAATGCAGTTCTCTCTGCTGCTCCCTCCACAGCTCCTTCTGCTCCGAGAGCGCCTGCTGCCACTGGCTCTCCTGCGAACTTTGTCACGCACATCCCCCCTTGCTCCTTCCCCCCCTCTCGCACTCTCCCCTTCCCTCTTCATCCCCTTCCCTCTACTTCCTCTTCTCCACGGCTCACCGCCAGCAGGAGCGCTGCTTGCGACTCTGATCGCGCTCTCTCCAGCTCTAGTGTTGCTTCCTCCACTTGCTCCACCAGCTTCTCCTTATCGGCCAGCAGCCTCTCCACCTGCTGCTGCTCTCACACGCTGATGAGGAAGCACAAGGGGAAGTAGATTGAGGATGAGCGACCACTGAGAAAGAGGAGAAAATAGGGAGTAGGGGGAAGGGGAAGGGCGGGGAGGAAGAGGCGGAGGTTGAGGAGAGGAGGGTAAAGGAGGAGGAAGAGGATAAATGAACACAGGAAGAGCAGGAGAAGAGGAAGAGGAGGAGGAAAAGGAGGAGGAGGTGTTGGTGGTGGAGAATATACGAAGACAGGAAGAGGAGGAGGAGAGGAGGAGGAGGAGGATAAACGAAGACAGGAAGAGGAGGAGGAGAGGAGGAGGAGGATTCGACCTCGGCACGGAGTCGGGCGCCCGCTGCCTCCATCTCAGCCTCTCTCTGCCGCAGAGCCCTCATCCCCTCCTCTTCTCGGCTCTGTATGTTGAAGACTTCTTCCCTCAATCTCCCTGCCAACCACCCTAGTGGTAAGTTTTTCCTCCCCACCCACCAAGTGACCTCACCCAGCTCCTTGGCCTTCGACTCCTCCTCCTCCTGCATGTGAGCTTGCAGCGCATGCATCTCGCTCTTCTGCCGCTCCAACATCTCGCGAGCCCCGTCGCACTCCTCCCGCTTCCTTTCCAGCTCACTCTCCAGCTCCTGCGCTCCTGTGAGCCCCAGGAGGGAACGAGGGCCTCCTCTCACCTGGATCTTTGCGTGTGCTTCTCTCACTGCGCTCGACATCTCGCCGATCGCCCTTGACTGCCTGCAACCAACTCCGTCAAACTCTCTCCCTCCCTGGCCTTTCTTCTCCTTCCCTCCCTGATCCGCTCCCACCTTAACCCCTGCACCAAACCAACCAACGTATCCGTCCTCCTCTGTGCTCCTTCTCTCTCTCCCTCGCTCTCTCCCCCGCCCCCCGTCCCATCCTCCCCCTTCTCCGTCCTCCTGTTTCTTACTTGGCTTCCATCTCCATGTAGAGGGTGAGAGACTGCTGCAGAGACAGGTTTTCCTTCCCCAGCTCCAACATCTGATCTCTCGTTTCCTCGCTCTGGCTATTGGCTCTTTCAACATCCGACATGTAGCTCGCTCGCTCTGCCTCATACTTCTGCATCAAGTCCCTGGCAAACTCTCCTCAGCCCGAGCATGTTTCCCTGTAGAGGCTCGTACCTCTCAACCTCCTTCCTCTCCATTTCACTCGCTTCCAACCTACTCTCCAACGTCAAGCACCTCCCTTCGAGCTCCTTTCTTTCCAGATGCATCTCTTCTTGCAGTTTCAGGAATTTCTCTTGTTCCTGCTGCAGCTGAGAGTCTAGACATGCGATCCTGTGCTCGTATTGAGACCGGATTTCAATCAGTTCTGCTTCGAGTTTCCTCTGCTCTTCTTCTGCTTGTATCTTGAGCTTGTCGAATCGGGAAACAAGCTCCTGAGGATGAGTTTCACAGAACGCCTCATCGATCAAATATTCCCAGGTCTCCTTACCTGCTCTCTAGCCAGCGCTTCTTTTTCTCGTTGCTCAAGAAATCCCTTCTCCTGCTGAAGGATCGCTATCCGTCGTTCGTACTCCTTCTTGTCTTTGATGCTCCTTTGCACTATCTTGTGAACATCTTCTTCCATAATTTCCTGTGAATCAAGTTTCCAATCGTTTTCATTGATGATGTCGAAAGACTCCATTGCTCCAATCAACTACGCTGATGACCTGTCGATCAACCTGTCTCTGCGATTCTGTTCCAAGATGACGGAAGTTTGATGACTTTCTTACTCTGCTGTGTTGTTCAGCGTAGGACGAAACTCTCTCTGTGTTGTATGTCACTCCTTCCTTCTTCCCGTTCCTTCTCCTCGTTTCTCCTCTTCCTCTTCCTCTTCCTCCTCAAGCCATATGCCGTTATGCTCACACCTCACCACCCCCACCCACCAAAACTACCCCACTCAGGTGCTACTCTCGAACTTGCTGTGTCATAACCCCTTCTCTTCAGCACCAAAATACCCCCAATTGATAATTTTTTTAGCCCCCACCCCTTTCAAAACACCTTACCTAAGGGCCCTACCCACCCCCTAGAAGCCCAGCAGATACCTACAGCTTCTGTCTACACGCCTGGTCCGTTGATTCAAAATGCCGACAGCAGGTGAAGTCCGAGGAGAGCGGCGACGAGGGAGGAGGAAGATGAAGAGAGAGGAGGGAGAAGGTTACATGTAGAGTAGAAGTGAAGAAGAGAAGGCATACACGGCGAGGGAGAGAGAAAATGAAGACAGCTTCCTTGAAGGAAAACGAACCCACAACTGGGTAGGTATGACCGATGTACATATGGCAGAAAGAGGATGTCGATAACAGAAACAGGAGCATTAGAAAATGAAGATTGTGATGTAAGACGGTGTTTTGATTGCATGCGATGGAGATGTGCAGTGAGGTTTCAGTTTTCTTGAAAACGGCAATTACTGTATTTTGTTCTCCTGCCATTTGGGACAGCTGAGCAGCAGAAATGAAACTCTCTCTGTCTCTATTGCTCTTAGTTCCAAGTATCGCTTCTCTAAAATCTGACTATTTTAACTGTGCAGTAACGAACAATGTTGTTCCAACCAAGGGCAATGAGGTTGAAACTTTCTTCGATGCGTCGAATCCTGCCATCGGCGACATGACAGTAAAGTGTTCTATGTGAAAGGTATCTTTGTTGATTGCGTCCTCAGATCGAAGAGCTCCTAGAATCTGTCTATGAGAAAGAAGTCCAGAGAATCTTGGCTGAGGCAGAAAAAATGCAGGAGAAGTTGAGGGAGAAGGCAAATGAAGCCAAGGAGATTTTGTTAGCCAAGCCGACCAAGGAGAATGAGGAAAAACTTGAGTCTTTGATTTCCATCTGTGCATAATGGGGTAAGAGAGTATTTTCGTGTGCTTTACAAATATATTTACAAGGGCTTCAAGGCATCTAATCCAACTCATCTACATCCAGTGCCTTGCGAGCTCTTTCCCTCTCCCTGTGTATACATTAAATTTGACGATGAGAACCAATAAAACTTACTTGGAGATCTGCTGTTTCTGCCGTAGAAGTGCCTTGATTTCCTCACTCAGCTTGATGACAGCTGGGTCTTCTGCGAGATCAGGTCGTCACTGAAATGAATCTGATAAGAAACGAGCCTACTTGGAAGGAGGACAAGAGCCTTGTTTATACAGACATCAGCTTCCTCCTCCCGATTCAGCTGTTTGCTGGCGTCAGCACGTTTGATACCTCGCTCTTGCTCAGTTCGATACCTGCACAAGCGCCTTTGCCTTTCGATAAAGACCTTTAGGTAGCTTCTCGTCGAGCTCAAGAGCTTTCGAACAATCGTCACAAGCCTGCTCCAACACTGACCAGCACCGAGTCAGAGGTGGACGGTTGTACACTGAAGATACCTTTAGATCCTCCTTGGGGGGAAAGCATAAGTCGAGCTAGTGCTCTGTTGCTGTAGAGGACAGGGTCGTCGGGGTTCAAGTCAATCGCAAGAGTGTACTTGGCAACTGAGCACGTCAGTCAGCGTCACTTCATTCATTCCAGTCTCGCATTGCAGGATACCTGCGCCTTCAAGATCGCCGTCCTTGAGCAGAGCATTCCCCTCTGTGCGGTATTCTATCGCAGCTTTGACATCATCCTCATTCCTTCGCCTGTGCTGATTGCTCTTGCTTGCTTGCGAATCGCAAGGCGCATGCATGCTTTGCGAGCGAGTTTCTTCTACTGGCTTCTTCGAAAGTGGGGAATCATTTCCTGCTGAATTGTTGTTCCTGTCCTGCCACTTTGCGCCGTACATGAGAGCGTTCTTCTCTAGCTTCTTCGCGGAATCGCTAGCGATTTGATCCTCTGCAGTGGGCCAACGCCCGAAATCTTCTAGCTGTAAGAAGTCAAACCAGTCAAAGGGGAACAATAATGTGTCACTCATGCAGTAACTGACCAACGTGGTTGCGAGCTTCCTCTCCTCTTCAGATATGTCTTCAAGCTTCTTCCACTGATCGAAGGCTTCTAGAACCTTCTTGGACACGTGAAGGACTTTGTCCTTTGTGTACAAAGCTGTTGAAGACGTTAAATGAGCTCAGATGGGTCGCACTCAATCGCTCACCTCGGACCCAAGACAGAAAGAAGGCCAAGATTCTCAAGGCGGTGTAGCTCCCCCCGGGGTAAGAATTCCTCATGTTGGCCAACAGGTTCGGTATCATTTCTCCTTTGTTCATCTGAAACAGACGCTTGTGGATCTCGGAATCAATGTTCTTCGTGTTCAACCAGTCGATGTTGTCATTCTGGTCAGTCAAGAGAGACAAGGTTTCCATAGCTTGAGAGCGCAAGTAGAGATTCTTGCTAAAAGCAATTCTCGTCAACATCCATGAATTGAAGGATGTCAAGCCATGCTTACTCAATCAAGAGCTTCGATAAGGCTGAATAGCCTCCCGACATGATGAAGATTCTTGCTAACTTCCATTCCCTGCAGTGCCGCAGATATAGCATGGGCTAGTATACATGTCACGAGCGTGCAGGACGATCAAGTTCCATTCACCATGGCAGAAGTGAGCGTCTTTGTGACGGATTTGTCTTTCTGTGCATTCTCGTTCGAGACGGCGAGCAAGGACGGGTAAAGCGAGATTTCCTCGTCCGTGGGCCAGAAAAGGATCTGTCTGACCTGGGCGTCGGCAAGGTTTCGACTTTTGCAGGCTGTTAGAGATGATGAAGTGAAAGCGTTTGGGTATACCTTAGGACCGTTTGCATTGCCGATGTGGGAGGTTGGTCGAAGTGCTTTTGCATGGCGGCTATGACGTCATGTGCAACTTCACCATCCCTCTCTTCCTTGCCGAAACAATCCTCTAGGATGGTGTTGGTTACATGGAGGAACCGCTCTTCATCCCTCATCCTCCTGTCCTTCAATCAGCTTGCATCTTGATTAAAAATCCGCCATGGGCACGTCGGAGATTGCTAATGTCCGTTGCAGAAAAAAATCTGATTCACAAAACAAAAACAAAACAAAACCTTCACCGCTTTATGCTAACAACAACTGGTGTTGTCTACAACCCCAAACCTCACCTCTACTTCTGCGAGCAAAGACTGATCGATGTATATCTATCTATCTGCATATCATCATCTATCTACCTCTCTCCTCCTCTCTCCTCTCCTCGCTCACGTCACCTCTACACTCATTTCCCCTGAGGCTGTCGGTTCTCCCTGCGCACACCGCATCCCCGTTACACATCCGTTACACTCGTTATGACAGCATGGCCGCCTCACGGAGGAGCGGCTCAGCGGCTGCGGCCTGCCGCAGTGCCAGGCCCGGGCACGGCCGTGCCGCACCGGCCCGATAGTCTGGAAGGCTAAGACATTGACAATCGATGATCAGGCTGCAATCTGCATTGCAAAGAATCCAGGAAAAAAGAGTTTGGCTAAACCCATTGACATCAAGAGGTTGCGGAAGTTTCCTAAGACAACTTGTGGAAGAGAATACCCCGGGCCCGGCGTTAACGTACAATATGTACAGACTCGGACCTCGAAGACGGTTCAACGGTTGGCTGATCGGACCGGGAGTCATGACAAAATCACTCCCAGATCGGACTTGCCGAGCCCACTGACAGTGAAAACTTGTGACTGAGAAATTGTAACTGTTCTGGAACGGTACGGTACTCCATTCCGACTATTCGATGCAGGAATGACGGACCATTTCTTTTCTCTCTCTCTTTCTTTTCTCCTCATTCTCTCTCTCTTCTCTCTTCCCGGAGTCCTTCTCACTATCTCTTAACCTTTTTCTTTCTCCTATCCCGGCCCCCCGAGTCCTTCCAGTCTCTGTTCAAGTATCTTCCTATCCTTGCTCTGCTTATAAATACTCTTATCTCAGAAGTCAATCATACTAGTAGTACCTACAGTACCGTACCTCAGTGCTCTACTAACTTCCGACTACTCAGTGCATACCGTAGTACAATCCATCACCCGGTGGTCTTGCCGGCGCCGGGCGGCCCGGCCCGGTTGCCCGCAGCCCCGGCCCCGGCCCCGGGCCCCCCGGGACTCGGAGGGGCTGGCACTGATCGAACGGAACGGCGTGCCGGGCCCGGGTCTCAGCAGCCTGGCCCTCTCATCGGATCCGAGTCACGGCGATGTCACTCCTGGAACTGTCTGATAATTAGCTTAACTTACTTTGAGTAAACTTGACTGGAGAGATCAGTATCACGGTACGATTATTACTCATCAAGAAGGTAGATATAACCATGGGCTACGATGACAGGGCTGGGCCCGGGGGGTCGGAACTGGTTTTTAAAATGAAAACCCCGGGAGACCCCTTCACATGACTGGGGAGCTCCCACGATAGGAGGGGTACTTCTTTGCCCATACTGAGGGGCACCTGTCACTGCCAGGTTCCGCCGCCGAGCGAGTGTGTAGGCCCGGGGCCGCAGCCTCTTCGAGTCGCCTGTAGTAAACCGAGTTATAAAATTGTACCAGGTACTGAAGGAGCCGGCGTGATACCGGGAGATGCCGATCCAGGGGATGCAAGGAGCAGGGCACGAGGCAGAGACGGGAGGGAGGAGGGAGGGGGTCACAGGGGCAGGGGCCGAGAGGGGGACGGAGGGAAGGGAGGACGGCTGTTGTAGGGGAGTAGGAAGGGACTTAGAGCCATGAGGCTGTTGTGGTGAGGGAGATGGGGGAGAGAGGGTGTAGTTGTTGTTTGTTCGGCAAGACGGTTGCAGGGAAGATGTTTAGAGGGCGGCAGACTAGCGTGAGATCTCCTTTGGTGGAGACTTTTATTGTGAAATCAGAAGAGCAATCTAAGATGTGACTTGTACATACATGTTGTGCTGATGGCCCTCGAAAGCCTCACCTGGGATGATTGAATCTTGTCAAATCCGATTGTTCCGATTTATTATGCAAAGCATTTTTTCCTGAATGATATTTTCAGATCCACTCAACTTCCGCTTCAATTGATTGAGAAAGTTAGGAATAGGTAAGACGCTTGCACAACGAAGTCGATCCACATCAAGCGCAATGAGCGACTGATCGTGAAAGCAAATACATAGGCGCAAGAGGTTGTATCTCGTCGCTGCTTCTCCTTGTCATTCAAGTCACTGTCATGCAGATTCGATGCATCCTTCCGATCATCATGCTATGATTCAGCCTGAGCCCAGAAAGACTCATGTCGTTCCGACAGAGATTGTGAGTGAAGAACACATCCAACAGTTTTCACACCTGAGCTTGTTCTCCGCGTTGTTGACGCACTATGGCAGATCGATGTCTTGAAGGCAAACTGCGAGATGAAAAAGGGTATTTGAAATCCCTGACTTCCTCACGATCTGATTCTTGGACGCCAGCGAATGAAACGCACCAAGTGGAGTTGGAGCATATGGAACATTCGAGCCCAAGGTTCTCTCTGCACTTGGCAGCGAGACCATAAACCTCTGACGCGTCTTGCAAAGTTTGACAGATACCACAGGACAAACTTGCCCAGAGCAGTCCGACAGTTCTCAAACTGTTTCGCCCAATGACCGTTTCTTTCTGAACAAGTCAGCAAACAGCGCATTTGATAATGTTGATTCCAACGATTCGCACATTGTGACTTTGAAGACGTTTACAAACAGACAGCCTGCTGCAATCAACGTTGCTTTTAAAGCCAAACAATTGGACACGAATCTTTGCGATGCCCGTACACCGTCAAACGATTCAACATACATGTTTGTGTCGTCGAAATCTCAGGTAGCTTCGCCTGATGGTTGGATGAGACTCGTCTCAGCTGCAGAAAAAAGTAGCTGTTCTAGCAGCTATTTGTCTGGAGATAGAGAATGGAAATTCAATAGCATCTGCCGACAATCTAAGGATGAGGTTGCCGATGAATGGGACTCAGTTCTGCAAGGCATAAGTAGGATGGAATCGAGCTTGCCTTGCTCTCAAGGCAGAGCTGAGGAAGAGGCTTCTCCGTTGCGGATTGCACATGATGATGTCATGATGGGGAATAATGCGGAGACATACGACGTTCACGAAGAAACAACGACAGCAGACAATTTTATGTCAGGGTGGTTTTGTGCGAGGGCAAACTGTTTCGTAGGAATGTCGCTTTCATGTTGTAGTTTACAGGCAACTTCTTCTATTCCCGGCTTCCAGATGTTTAGGGTTTGCTTCTCTGGCAAACGTTGAAAAATGGCTGCGATTTCTATTACTTGAGCATCGTGATGTTGAAGCATTGTAGAATAATCTTGGTGACAAAAGTAGCAGCTTTCTTCTTTCTTGCGTGTTTGGCTTTGCACGACACTACGTAGAGAATCAAGGTTTTGTTTAGCACTTGAAGTAAACATGTGTATTGTTTCCAACTTTAATCACATGCTCAACCTTTCCTTCGGAGTAAGGAAAGGATTTCCAGATAGTTCGGTTCGTCGCCATTCAAAATTCCGTGCCTGTGACACATTTGTTGTAGTCAACGCAACGGGCGCAGGAGCAAGTGCCGAACAACCTGATTGCCAAGTCTATCATGACGAGAGCAGAGTTGGGTTTCCACATGTCAACCTGACGGCAATGAGGTCAGAGACATCGATCGTACGGTCTTCACTCTCAGCTGGCCACAACATCTCACCTGATCCGCCACTGACCGCATCGCTTCCTCTATCGGCATCTTCTGGAATGAATCCACCTGCTCCCCTCTTAGCCTGCGTCGCATCCCCAACACCCACAGCTCACCTCCCCATCGAGAGCTCTCGGCACGAAGTCTCGAGGTACCTCAAGATCGTAGCAGAAGAGCGTCTGCGGGGCTGAGGTCAATCATATTCATCTCGGAGGGTTTCATCCTACCTTGGGAGACAGGCCCTTGTTCGTGGCGTACATGTAGCTGACAGCTCCGACGGGCCTCGCTGTTGCTGCTACCTGAACGTCTCAAGTCATAGGAGCTACAACTGCCATCAAACTCTTTCACCTGCTGGGGGATTCCGGCTTCCTCTTCGCATTCTTTGACCACGTTCTCGGTCAGTGAAAGCCCCTGCGGCTGCCCTCCGGCAACGCATCTGCGGTACCGTTAGCAAGGGCCTCACGGCTCCAGTGCCCTACTGATCAAGTTTCCCCGGGTAAGTCGCCTTGGTAAGAGCCCTCTGGTACAACCTCCATCACTCTGCCAGCCTCCTCAGCCTCTCCCTGACCTTGGCGATCCACACGCTCGTGCCTCGTTCCTCTCTCACGAGTACATTCACGTGGACTCCTGGCATCCGCGCGGCCAGGATCAGCATGTGAGGAAAGTGCCCTGCTCACTAACCGTACGCGGCAACCCCAAAGTACGGGACGCAACCCCGTTCAAGAAGGAGCGCGGGAGGCTTGTTGAAGGCAGAGGAGACCTGGAGGCAGGGTGAGGAGAAGCCTTCAATCAGCGGAACAACGGCACCTGCTGCAGCTCTCCCCGCCAGCCTCGCATCTCTCCTCTCTCAAACAAAACCTTAACCTGGGGTGGGGGGGAGGGGCACACGAACGTGTGTCAGAGTAGTTCATGGGGGATGGCGAGCAACCATGTCGTTGACCGCGGCCGATCGGTCATGCAGCTGAGGATGATCAGACAGAAGGTTCTCGTGCAGACCGACGTTTCCTGCCAGACGTCTCAGGGGAGGCGGGGCGCTCTCAAAGGTGCCATTGGGGCGAACCAGGCATGAACGAGGAGCCGTCTTCACTGCACTGGGGCCACTCGAAGGTGAAGACCTTCTGCTTGGTCTCAAGCTGGAGCGAATGCAGTCTTGTTGCAAACTCCTTTCTCAACCACCCTAGTTGTTCACTTTCAATGCTGAAGGGAATGAAATCTGTGGTCTTGTATGAGTTGAGCATCTGCCAAATCCGTAAATTCGACAGACAGCAGTGAGATGGATTACTTTGCAGTGGTCCAGCAAATTTTCTGTGTTCAAAACACGTTGATCACCATGCACTGAAGCCATGCATTTCCAACCATTATGCCGCCCATCCCTGTTGACTTTTGGTCTCGAACCATGATTTCTCCACACACGCACTTTCCACCCGAAAGCAGCGCAAGAAGCAATGGACTCTGCGAGAAAGATGCAGAACAATGTTGTTGTTCTACATTTCATCTGCAAGGAATGACAAGCATCAGATTTGAAAATAATCAAAATCGAGAAGGCCAGGTCATGATAACCAAGAAACTACTTTCAACCTCCTCACTCTATTCTCACATCAGATCGCTCTTTCATCCTCCTGATTCTCCAGCATTCTTCGCGCTCATTTCTCCTCCTGTCGTCTCCTATCGTCTCCTGCCCTCTCCTCTCCTCTCCTCGCTCTTGTGTCCTGCATGTGTTCTGCACTACTGCGCCTTCCCTTTCTGCTTCCCTTTCCCATTTACATCTGTTTTTTCTTTTTTTCTTTTTGTTTATTTTACAGTGTCAACTAATGACAACTCTCACTTTCGCGAAATTTATGAAATATTCCTTGAAAATTTTGAAAATATCTTTACAAATTTAATACAACTAAGTGAATTGATACCCGTCTTCATCAGTAGCGTGTACGGGCTGCGTTCTTTTACATAGAGGGAGGGGTGGTGGTTTGACTGGTCCGATGGTGGGGTGGGGGGGACGAAGGAGGATGATGGCACGGGGTTGGCAGGCGAGGGTATCGCCGAAGAAGGTGGGGCAGCGAGGATATGCGTTTGTGCTGGGACTTGTGGCTCTTGTAATCATGTACTACATGCTGGACCCGTTGTTCGATACCCTCCCTTCTGCTGCGGAGAGGATGAAGGGACGAGGGGAGTGCGTGCAAGGAAAGCTGGGAGGGGGGCGATACGCGATCGTAACCCTGATATCAAACTTCCAGATGAAGTACATCGAGAGTGCAGTCGTGTTGATCAGATCTATTAAGTGGTTCGGAAAGCTCCCCTGTGACTTTGAGTTCATCGTCTATGTGCTGGACACCGTCACCAAGCAGAAGTCCTACTTGGCCCATGCCTCGATCCTCACAGACGCTGGCTGGAAAATACAAGTTGTGCCTCTGATCCCTCCGCCAGAGTATGTGAATAGTCAGACATCAGAAGAGAAATTCCTCCCGATGTTTTCAAAGTTACACGTCTTCAATGCCACTTCCTATCGAGGCATCCTGTACCTGGACTCGGACGTCATGGTGTTGGGCCCGATATCAGAACTCTTCACGGACTACGTTACAAGGATGCAGGAGAAGAAGTCATATCTTGCATGGGTAAGAGATCAACCGCAGACAGACTTCCCAGGCTACAACTGTGGTGTGATGCTTGTTCGGCCGGATGCAACGGTGTTCGAATCCTTGGTGAAAGGGAGACTTGAGATCAAGAACTACAACCACCACTGGGCAGAGCAGGGCTACATGAATGAGTACTTTGTCCGGCACAGAGATGAAATGCTGGAGCTTCCTCCCAGGTTCAACGTCCTTGCCAACATTCCCACGGAAAACACGACGCTGTGGAAGGACTTGAAGCAAGATGTGAGGATATTGCACTTCACCATTGTGAAGCCTTTCTTCTTCTTGAGCCCGGTCGCTTGCTACGTGAAGAAGATAATGAGCTTCTGCTCCTCGTGGGAGTACGTCCGAGACGCAAAACCAACATGATGGGTGGGCTTGGCGCGTTTGGGCCCGTGAGTTACGTGCTTCACACTACACTTGCAACAGACTCATGAACGATGACGATGATGACCGTTTCTCAACCGGACAATGATATACTCTCATCTTGCATCAAAATGATGGAGAGATTGTCTTCGCATTCCCAGTCCAGTCAGCTCAGGGGGTGAAGAGAAATCTGGTCGATGCCTCGAAAGGCTTCAAATGACACACAGTCTTTCAGACTTTCTTGTCTCTTTCGCTTCATTACTGCAGTCTCGCTAATTTTTGATGATTAAACTCCATGTTGTTGTAACTTGGGAGCATTTTTCTGCACCTTCATGTTGTTGTAACTTGGGAGCATTTTTCTGCACCTTCATGTTGTTGTAACTTGGGAGCATTTTTCTGCACCTTCATGTTGTTGTAACTTGGGAGCATTTTTCTGCACCTCACTCTGTGTTGCTTCATTTCCCCTTCATTCCTCTAGTCATTTGGATAACACCGCAACATAAACATCCCTTTGCCTTGCTGTCGGTCCGCATTCCAAAAGCTCCTGCCTGCACAGACGCCATGGCTTGCGAGCAAGTGTTTGAGAGCATGCAGGGTTGACACAGGATTCATCGTTGTAAGATCCTCTCTTGCACTGAGACAACTTCGCTGCTATCTTCTCTCTGCATGTCAAACATGATTCTTTGACTGGATGCTGCATGAAGTTGACCCCCTCCTAGTCTTCCCTATCTTCCATCCTGCCTTGTCTTCTTCCCCTCCTCCTCCACGCGCACGCGCGAACTCCCTGACCCCTTCCCACTCCCCACTGTTGCCCCCAATCTTGTTTTCAGACTCGTGGAAAGGATTTGTCGGGGGCTTATCAAGAGGACGCAACGCTGAGGCAGACGAGGAGGAAGTGGAGGCGGAGAAAGAGGAGCCACAGAGGGCAGGAGGAGCATAGAGGCGCGTTGAGGGAGTCATGGCGACGAGGACGGGAGAGGGTGCGATGCTTCCGTCTCTCAAGTTTGATGCATGCTCCTGTTGCCACCAGAAGAGGTGAGCGAGAGTCTCCTTGAGTTGTCCTCTCTCCGTATCAGCTGACTCTTGTTTGTTCTACTCTGTGTTGCTTTCTTTGCTTTGTTGTGCATTATGAATGTTCTGTATTGTTGTGTATTGCAATGAATTGCTTTCTTGGTTTTGTTTTGGTTCGTTTGGTTGTCTGGGTTTTATGCAGAGGTTGGTGGACTCTGTGTCCGGGAGAGCTCTGCTTCCGCTTCCAGACCTCGGCTGAGCGGGGGCTTCAGGTAATGTGCCCCTGTGCGAGCTGAAAGGTGACGCGTGCTCGTTAGCAGGATGTGGTCACAGCGAGGATGGGGCAGTGCGGTCTGAACAAAGTGGACAAGAGTCTGCCGGACATGCAGGAACTGAGAAGGAGAGTCGAGACTCTTCGTAGCTGCTTGTTGACGACGTTCTTCTGCTCATCTGCAGCTGGTGGAGGAAGGGGACTCATCCTTTGTTGGCCCTGAATGTTGTTTGTACAGCTCTCGTGGGCGCGATCAGAAGAATGGGCAAGGTCCTCCCGCTGCCAGACCCAGCCTTGCTCTCGAGCCTCGGACTATCTCTCGGGTCTTTGTTCCTCTTCCGCAGAGTCCACAAGTTGTCTTGCGACGTCTCGCGCGCCCTTGGCTGTATCATGGGGTACGACCATTCTTCGGCTGTTCGAGTAGTGCGCGATGGATCAGTGAAGGAGGTAGAGGCCTCCCTGCTTGTCCCTGGCGACATGATCATCGTCTCTCGAGGGCACGTCTCGGCAGATTGCAGGATCTTGTCGGCTGAAGGGCTGGTAGTTGAGCCTGTCAGCGGTAAGACGGGAGGAGGAGGAGGAGGAGGAGGAGGAGGAGGAGGAGGAGGAGGAGGAGGAGGCCGTGAGATGGACGAGGCCTCATGGAGGTTTCAGGTACATCTTTCACGGCATCGACGGCGAGAGGGGAAGAAGATTCAGAGCCACGAGTGTCTGATTGTGCTGTGCTTGCACATTCAGAGGTTGTGGGGTAAGCACTTTTCTCAATGATGCTGAAGGAGCTGCGATGACAGTGACCTGACAGGGGCAGAGGGCTTGCAATGGTGACAAGGACAGGTAAGAAGAATGCTTGTACCCGACGTTTGGTGAAGAGTTAAGCAGGTGAAAACGTGAATGTGATCCGGGTCTTGTCTCGTCTCAACAAGTTGTCCATGTTGGAGCTAACTCTCATTGATGTGACATGAAACTCTTCAAACTCTTACAATCCTCCGCGCGTGACGTTTCGTGATCCCACATGCTCGATTCACATTCAGCTCATGCCACGTCAAGCCTTGAGCACTGCATGTCTTCATAGACCTTCGTTGTCGTCTTTGTGCTTCGCAATCGACCTGTGGCACGGTCAGGGATGCGGTACTATACAGTCCTGCTTTCCTTAGGTCAAGCATTATCTCTTCGTTTGTTCTGTTGAAGAACACCCCGTCGGATGCTCCCTGTTGCAAGTTACAAAAGATGATTTCAAGTTGTCGTCCTTGACAAAGTTTCAAGCATCTATTCTCTCGCCTTCCAAGCCCTCTCCCCTCCTATTCATCTTTCTTCTTTCTTGTCAGCTCTTTTCCCATCCTTCCCTCTCCTCCCCTGCCCTCCCCTGCCTTTCTCTGCCTATTCCTCTGCAACCGCAATCAACACAAGATTCTCGTAATCACCTCCCCCAATTCGTGACTGCTCTCTGACTGCCTGACAGCGAACTGCGACGCTGAGGAGGGGTCTTCACCGCCAGCTCCCTGCTCGTCAATGTTATGGCCGTTGAATACAACGTGAGAGGAAGGAGCGGGAGAGGGAGCGGGGAGAGGGACAGGCAAGGCTTGACCCATTCGATGCGCGGTGGAGGTTTCGCCGGCGATCTCTTGCTACGCAAACGTCTCACCCCTGGGGCTCTGCTCCGGTCTCGTTACCTTGCCCACTTCTCCATCACCTCCACCGCCTTGGAAGACTCGCCTAGCGGTAGGTCAGCCAATTTCTGAGGGAGCGGCTCTGCGCATCGACCTTGATCGAGGTACATCTGAAGTTGTTGGAGGGTCGACGATTCTGACGTATCCAATAATGACCCCTGCCCTCAGGGTCTCAGTGCTGAGATTCATTGTCAGTGACTTGCCTTGGGGAAGAGTTTCCTCCGAATCTCTTTTCTGATCTCGAAACGTGTCAAGTCGACAAGAAAAGGAAGAGACGGTTTGGCAGCAAGTAGACGAACAGGGAGGATGGATGAAACTAAATCAGCACCTGTACTTCCTGGCTTGCATTTCATACCCCGACTCATCTTGAAAAAGAAAAAAATCACGCACGCACACCATGGCCTGACAATCAAAAACCCACCCTCGACGACAATCTTAAGCACCTCATCTCTGTCAGGGATGAGCTGAAAGAAATCTCAACGGGCGCAATGACGAGCAAAAGCGACGGAAACCTGCAGACCGGTCTCTCTCAGGCAGCTCAGTTCACACCCGACTTGATCTTCAAAGAGCTGGAAATGCATGTGAGTACGTTAGGGACGTGCGGCAAACTTATCAACCGCTCCCAAGTCTCTCGGATGGAATTCTCCGTCCCTGTGACGGGTTCCAAGTATACAATCACACAAGCTCTTGTCCAGAGTGCAAGAATTCACCGCACAATGCAGGAAAGCTCTGTGTTATTCTATCTCATCAACATTCAGTAAGGATCAACAGCCCGAGCGCTACAACCTCTGAGATATGAACAAACCCTTCTGTTGTCAACCATAGTTCCATCTTCACAGCATTACAAGGGTGCCACGTCGAGGGAAAAGCTCTCACAGTCGTCTTCTCGTGAGTTATGAGAATGTACGGCCCAACATTCCTCCAGTACCAGTAGGGCCCCAGTAGGATTCCTGCACTCTCAGGTAAGCCACCGCTGTCGCTAGGAACGGTTCGAAACATCCACCCTCATCAGGCATGTAGAAGCCTTTTCCTTGCAGCAGAGCATCCACGAAAATTTTCCCGATGTTGTGCTGTCGAGGGAGACTTGTTGTAAGTTTCAACCAAGAAGGCAGATAAGCTCACAATGTATTCCGTCTCCGACCGTAAAGTGCAGTTTTGCCAGGGGCAATGCCTGCAGCACGGCAGTCAGGCAGCTTGCAAAGACAACTACCACTGATGGCGTCTAGCGGGTAGACCTGTCGGTCAGGATGCAGCTGGAGTCCGAGAACAAGAAGTACGAGCCTGCGTTTTCTTTCGGCATCATTCTCACGAGAGCATCAGGAGTGAGTCCATAGAAGCTTAACAACGTCTTGTGGTCAGTGTGCATGGCGACCAAGTGCTGGTCGCTGAGGCCTTGCCAACATGTGAGAAACTCTCGATCCTCTCAATCTCCTGCTCACCTCCTACGATAAACCTCCACTTACTCGCCGCAGTCCCTTCTGCGCCAGGCTCCCTGTGCAAGCCACGGGTTGGTGCGAGCCACGGGTTGGTCGAGTTTCGCCCATCACAACTTACCTAACATTACAAACGAAGTTCATGTCGTAGATATTTCGTCCTTGACTATCAAACTCCTCATCCGGTCTGACGTCAGGAAACGTGGGTCTGATTGCATCCAACGTCTCTTTCTTGAATTCCCTTGCCATCTCCTCCAACGTCGCATTTGACCCAGGGGCAAATCGGTACAAGAGAACGTTATCCGAGCTACTGCTCAGATCTAGATCGTCAGCACCTCCCCGCAGTCTTGAGACGGAGGTAACATCAGGACGAGACAGGGAAAGGGAGACAGGATGGCGTTCGAACCTAGTCCCCAAGGATCCTACAAGATATAACAAGTCAACCTTGAAGTCTGCAGGAAAAGACCAGAGAACCAAGGAGTGAAGAGTAGAGGATAGCAGCGGGGATCATCCTGTCTCATGGCTCCTCATGCGCTTTACTGTGAAACCATGCTGGTCGGCGGATCCTGGAGGATGGTCAGGCTGAATCGTTCTTGGATCTCCTCTCTTTAGAGCTGGATTCGCTGTGGACAACCTCACTCTCCCACCTCTCTCCGTCTCTGTCTCCCTCCCTCCCTCCCTCCCTCTCATCTGTCCCTCTCTGTCCCTCCCTCTTCCTCTCTCTCTCCCTCCTTCAGCACGCTTGCGCCATAATAAGGCGCATCGCCCAGACACGGAAAATATGATGGTGCTCTTGTAAAAGATAAAAAAGAAATTCGACATCGGTGAGATTCGAACTCACGCGGGGAGACCCCAGCAGATTTCGAGTCTGCCGCCTTAACCGCTCGGCCACGATGTCATCTCACGTCTGTGCCCCCACTGAGGATCGAACTCAGGACCTTTCGCTTACGAAGCGAACGCACTACCAACTGTGCTATGGAGGCAGCTCGCCTCAGAGCATCTTTTTGTCAATATATAACGTGGCATGTTTTTCATTTTAGCTCAGTGCCGCCCGGGCCGGCTTCTGAGCCCGGCTGCTCCGAGGCTTTCACTGATCAGGTTTGTCAGGCTCCCGGCGCAACTTTGAAACAGTGAATGTGAAGTTCAGCGCCGGGCAGCAGCAGACAGCGCCGGCCGCCGGGGCCGGGGGGGTCGGAGTCATGAACTCGGAAAGCGGGCGCCGCCCCGTACCGGCGGTCCGATCCGGCATCCCGGGCCGCCGCCGGCCGGGCCGGGCGTTACCGGTGGCTGAGCCTCCGAGGGTTGATGAGGGCAGTGGGGTGCTACTAGCCGACGGTACTACACTACCGTACTACAGTACGCCGTCACGAGGGGGGGTACTAGTAGGAGGAGTCGGGGAGGAGGGGTAGTCACGGTAGTACCGATTGAGGAGGACCTACCTTGAGGGTGACCTCCCGGCACATGTCTTGCCAACACTGTTCAAAATGAAAGCCGCTTAGCATGCTGCTTTGCTCCTCTCTCCTCGTGGCTCGAGACTGCCGCTCCCCTTCTAGCTGCTGTCTTGCACGCAGCTCCTTGCTCTCGCTCTGAACATCAGTTTATGTTACCTGGGACTATCTCTTCCCCTCGTTTCCGACCTGCTCTGCTGAGCTTGTTGTTTGTTTACTTTTGCCTTGCGTTTTTCAATTCTAATATGCAACAACGCTTTTTCTTCTTCGATCAATTTCTCATTTTCATGCTGTTCCCTCCTCACCTGCTGGATCTGTCTTTGGTACTTGAATCATCAACCTTGCCATGACTTTCAATATAAATGTCCTGCGATGTTGCACCCAAGTCCATCGAAAAATTGTTGTAAAATGATTTCGTGTGATTTATTGAAAGCGTGCTTTGACAACATCTCCACAGTCGATCGTTGGAGCAGAGTGAAATCTCTGTGAATATGTCCGGCGCTGAACCAACCGGAGTGCTTGCATCATTTCGTTCCATCCGGAAGATTTGGGAAGAGCGAGATTCAAAGAAGGACGGGACAAAGGAAGCGGTTACAAAGACTAATCCGCAGCTACCCCCACCTTCGCCATCCTCCAAATCACACCAAGACCCTTCCGCTGATCCCTTTCATCTGTATGGTTTCTCACTGCAAGAGGAAGCCGGTTCTGGTAGTACGAATATTCAGATCAAGAAGGTCGCGCGAGGCGGGATGGCAGACTTGGCGGGAGTTATCTTCCCAGGAGACAAGGTCTTGGAAGTCAACGGGATTGACGTCAGGGATTGGCCTCTAGACAAAGTGAGCATGGCGATATCCTTGGATCCCTCTCAGTTGAAGACTGATCTCCAGGTTTACCCGCTCATGTCCGAGGAGCGCTGCGGACTGCTCCTGCGCCTCTCGTTACAGAGGATCGGGTTCGAAGGTGGGGAGCTCTTGTGCTGTCGCCTGTTGGTACTGACGCTGTCAAATATTCAGACTGTATCAAAGTAGAGCTGGACGGCAGACCGAAGGGAAAGGCTGCTGGGGAACAGCAAGGGGCTGTGGAATCAGATCCTCCCAGGAACCAGGGTATGCCTCATGAGGAAACAATGACGGCAAACAATTTATCCGAGCGGGAACAACCCATGGATGACGACGAGAATAGTGAAGATCGTACAAGCACAATCCGAAACTACAAGACGCGGTGATCTTGCCTTCTTCACATCAGCAGCAGCTGATGCTTTGTAAGGATCCAAGAGCTGTCTTATGAGCTTGAAGAAGCACACGTCTCGACAGCGCAACACTCGAAAAAACTCGAAGAACTTTTCAGGTTTGCATCGCATCTGTTCATGTCAATCGATAGCTGACCTGTACATGGAAAGGTTGTCTTCTCAAAAGGACGAAACAATCAAAGAGTTGAAGGACACTGTGAGGAGCTTGCATCTCAAACTTGAACAAGCCTCCACCAACGTGTTGCCAGACTCCGAGCAGGTCGTGAACATTCGTTGCTTCCTCTGCCTTACTGCATTTGTAACCGAATCAATGTTCAGACGGCATACAAGTCGGAGGATAACGCTAAGGTACAATGGCGGCAAAACTAAGATGCGTTCTGACGTGCAATTCAGATCGCTGAGCTCATGTCTGAGAACAACAAACTTCGTCAAGAGTTAGAGAGGCTCTCGTTACACGATCGACAAGTTGACGATTTGCCGGAGGTAGACTAAGTGTGGCAAGTGCAGTCTGACCATGATCAGGTTCGAGAGTACAAGTTACAGTTGATAGAAAAGAGTGCAAAGCTACAAGAGCTTGAGAGTGAATGCGCGAGTCTGAAGAGAAACAATGTGATTCAAGCCGTGGAGCTGCAGGTGTTGATGCTCTAACGGCTCTGATTACATCACGATTTATTTGTTTGGAAGGAATTACATGATCACATCTCGGGGATGGAGAAGCAAACACAAGCTCTCCAGGTGACGAAACTCACACTGGTCTGTCAAAGATATTGATGCCGTCTCGATGGGATGTAGAACCAACTGTTTCCTCCTCTTCCACCACTTGGAATCATCCAGGAAGTTCCTTTTGACGACTTGTTGGAGGAGGATGACAAGCTCAGGGTAAGCAGCATGGTGTCGCATGACCTTGTGAGACCTTTGCAGGCGATGATTCTAGCTGATGAAGCACTCGGCAAAGCACAACAAGAGATCACCATGTTGAAGCAGAACGAGAATCAAAGGAAAGAGCTCGAGTATCTCTACATGATTGCACAGGATGAGATTTCACAACTGAGGAACGAGATGCAATTGTATCAAAGTAGTCAGCACCGTTCCGAACCAAGTGAAGCATTGATTCATGAGCTACAAACTTTGAGGATGCAGAATTCTGCTTTGACCGAAGAAATGAATACAGCCAAGGAGCAGGTGAACATGAACAGTAGAGAAAACGAATTTTGTTGAGCTGACCAGTTGAAAGATTTCTTATCTGGAGGATCAAGCTTCGGAGATTGAAAGACTGAAGGCCAGCAACCTTACTTTGGAGTACAGCAAACGCAAACTAGAGGAGCTCTTGGAAATCGGCCAACAGAACTATGACATGTATGCCTCTTCTAGAAGGTTGACAAAACAACCCCAAGGTTCAGACTTGCTGATGTGCATTGTGCCTGAGAGCTAAGAAGATGATAGGTCAAGGTGTGCATGATATCAAGGAGCTTGAAAGGTGCATGTTTTTTGTAGTTGTCGGAGTTTTTACTTAACGATGTTGCTAGTGTCATGCAAGAGATTGCTGAAGTTGAGGGCATGTTGGTTGCTCTGATTCAAGAGAAGTTATCCCCGGCTGATGAGGCAAATCTGGGTGAAAGTGAAGAAGCGCTGCAACGACAAGACGTGCAGCCTTGCCTGTCCCTGTGCTCAGACAGGCTGAAGAAGCTTGTGGAATCCTTGAAGCACAAGGTCGAAGCCTCCTGGACCCCGGGGTCTGATCAGAGCTCTCCCTCGGAGCGTGGGCCCCATGGCGCGGCTCCCCCAGTGAAGCATCATCCCATCGAGTCTGCCCTTGAGATAGAGCAGCTGCTTGTGCAGATTCACGACCTACACATGGAGAACGACAGGATCAAGACGCTGCTCGAGCAGAAGTCGCAGGCCTACGTCGAGTCCCAGAGCTCGTACTCCAGCTGCAGCCTACCACCGTTGCTGACGTGGGACGTTTGCAGGCTGGCAGCCGCTCAAAACCACTTACAGGCGGTGATGGCGAAGTACGAGGGTTCCAATCCCTCCAGTCCCCTCGTGCTGTCTCCTCAGAGCCCTTCTGACGCTCTCTACATGCCCCAGGAGCTTCAGGTCCTTGTGGCTCCCACTGACTCATCTCATCATGTTTCAGGAGCGCTTCACCAAGTTTGACAGGCAAGTGAAGGAGCTCAAGAAACAGCTCGAAGCGGAGCGAGCTCGGAGGATCCAGCTAGAAGAATCCTCTGCTGCGAACGCGTCGGAGCCATCGGCTGCGACAGGTCAGCTGCATCATGCTGTGACGGCAGTCGTGAACCGACATCGCCCTCAGAGTACTCAGCAAGGATGTTCGAGTCTGTGGTCTTCGAGAAGAGGGTGTTGACCGAGGAGCTTGACGAGGTCTCTTGCAGTTCCCCTGCCTGCCCGCACTGACCTTGCTTGCTCGCAGTTGCGTGAGGAGAAGCGTTTCCTTGAGAGGTGCCTCACTGATGCCAGGATTGAGGCTGGGCGGTTGGAGACTGAGAACAAGGAGGTACCTCGCTGTGTTGTTTTCTGCCCAGGAGCTGCTGACCCGGTCGGTGCAGTTAAGCCAAGGTCTGCACGACTGCCAGATGTCGCTCGCCAAGATGGAGGGCAAGTGGAAGGCTGCGCAATCGCGAATCACAAGCCTGGAGAAGGAGATTCAGATGAAGAACACTGAAGTGTTCTCGGTCACAGAAGAGGTCAAGCGGATGCGTCAAAATGTCATTCAGAATGGTCGTGCTTCCTGCTCCTCTGCCGTTGACGCTGATTGGTCTTCTGCTCAGACTCTCAGGCAGAGTTGGAGAACAAGACTTTGCGGGATGAGCTAAAGTTTTACAAGGAAGAGAATGGTGACTTGTCATTGTGTGTTGTTCCGGTTCTTGTAGCGGCTTACTATCAACTCCAGTCACGCTTAAGAATGAGATTCAAGAATGCAATCAGAAGCTGGCAGACCACAGGAAAGAGATCGAGCAATGGTACACCAACTTCGACGACAACTACAACAAGTGTAAAGATGACCTCAAGGTGGTTTTTGAGCTCGGGACGTTTTGAGCTCGTGACGGGCGTCTGCAGGAGAAGGAGGAGGAGCTTTCGAGAGTCGCGAAGGAGATCAACGAGCTGAAGGAAGCGATCAACGCGAAAGAAGCGGCCATGGGTCAGAAGGAGCACAAGATGGGTCAGGCTGTCTCTCCCCCTTCCAGCGTCTCTTCTCACCCTCCCCTTCAGGCATCCTGGCAGATCAACTCAAGACGCAGAAGGAGCGGACGCTCAAGGCTGAAGCGCGAGCTTCTCAGGCTGAGGAGCAGCTGGCAAGCATCTTCTCGGAGCAGTCGAACGACTTCCGCTCCATGGACGAGCTGAGCTCGAGATACAAGGAGCTCAAGGAGCACAGCCTCGAGCTCCAGGCTGAGCTGAGCAGCAAGCAGATCGAGCTGGCCGTGACAATCGAGAAGAAGGACAGCGCCATCAGCTCACTGCAGACGATGGTGAGCTCGACCTGAGCATGACTCCTCCTCTCATGTGACTGACCTCTCCCTCCAAGAAATCCAAGTTGGACAAGAGCATGGAGCAGATCGAGGTGCTCAACAACTACATCCGAAGCATTCATGGTGCTGCCATGATGCCGCATGCTCCGCGCTGCCGTCTTGACGCCTGACGCAGGCAACATGGAGCTGGTCAATGTGCCGCCCCATCACCTTCATGAGAACACCATGCCCAACAACCTTGCGACGTGGAGCCCTGAGCCAGCGACGAGAAGAACAACGATGATGTGATAGATCCTAGTCCCCCTTGTGCTTTACTGTATACCTCTACTGCCCTCCGAGTCGATCATCCGGGATCTCAAGCCTCCCGACCTTAGGCTCTCGTTCCTCTCACGGCCCAGCCTGACTGTTCTCTGACGCTGGTCAGGCACAGACCGTCCGATTGCGGCAGTGCATTGACCACCGGCCGGTCGTCATGCGGCAGCCTCGGGCCGGGGTCCGGGGGGTCGGAACACTGAGCCTGGCAGTGAGTCAGAGTCCGGGGCGAGTCACGGTAGGGCTAACTTAAGCCTTACGTACGTTCATGGACTGTAAAATAAAAAAAGAGAAAGAAAAAGGCAAAATGAAAAAGGCAAAATCTACGACTGCACGCGTGTCTATGCAGACGCGAAGGAAAGGAGCGCAGTGAGAGGAGGAAGAGGAAGAGGAAGAGGAAGAAGAAGAGGCAGTCATAGGAGAGGAGACGTACAAGGAAAAGAGCAGGCGAATAGATCAGGTTGGTTGTACAGCCGAACTCAGGTCCTACATGGTGCAAGGGGATAAAGTTGATGCCCCCAGCGTGTCGGGGGATGGCAGGGAGGACACGAAGGACGTCGGTGCTGCTCTTGATAGTTGTCTCAGCATCCTGATAGACAGAACCTCCGACGACCGAGACATCACAAGCGTGTGCAGCAAACTCTCTGCCATGGCAACGCGGTGCAGCGAGTCGGACATCGAGATCTTCCGTAGACTAGGAGGCATAACTGCTCTTAGCAGAGTCCTCAAGAGGCCAGACCTTGACAGCGACATGGCTGAAGCAGCAGCAGCAGCGCTAACAAAGCTCTCGCTCCCTCTCACGCGCCGCCCGGAGAGCAAGACTCTGGAGTTCCATCATCATTCCATCACCATTAGGGAGCTCGAGTACTGCGAGACAGGAACCGCCTACAACATCTGGACAGCCGCGTTGGTGATGTGCAGCTGGGCAGTAGAGAACAATGAGCTGAAGGCGGAATTGGAGGGTGGGAGGAGGGTCCTGGAGCTGGGGAGTGGTCTGGGTCTTGTAGGAAGCCTGCTGTCGAAGATGGGTGGAGACGTCACGTTCAGCGACTTCGTTCCTAAAGTTCTTGAGAACCTCGAGGAGACCGTGATGGTGAACAAGCTGAGGGGACGAGTGGTCTCGTTGAACTGGGAGAAGGAGGCCGAGACGAGGGGCAAGGAAGCGTCGAGCGCGTCGTGGTACGGAGGGTGTGTGGACGAAGGCGAGATCACGAGGTTTGCGCATCTGGACGAGGGGGAGATGTTCGACGTGATTGTTGGTACGGACATCTGCTATGAATCCGATCACCCTGAGGTCCGATCCTGCCATCTCTTGCTCTTTGTGAGGCCAGAAGGAGGAGAGAGGGGCTGACGAGCGTTGACAGTTGCTGCGTGCCGTTGTGTCGAGGAGGCTGAAGCGAGGTGGCGAGGACTGGGAGGAGGGGGAAGATGATGGTGATGGGATGAGCAGGAGGCAAACTCTTCATTCTCAACGCTGTGAGGTCCTTGGAGATTCATCGTCGCCTTGTCGACCTCCTGGGGAGCATGTGCAGGTACTGCTTATTCTCCTCGTCTGCCCTTTGCCCGCCACACGCTCCCCCCACTTCCCTTGTCCTCCTTCCTTCTCCTGTTCTCTCTGCTCCTTGCCTTATCTGCGATCAGATCGGTGACAACAGAGAGCATCAACAGCGAAGAAGGCAAGTACGCGGTGAGTCCAGCTGCCTTGCTTCGGCTGGCTGATCGTTGACAGGTCAACATCAACGAGTACGGGTGCACACAGCACAGCAGGTACTATGCCGGAGGCATGCAATTGATTACAGCATTGCGATGACACATCCTCGTCATTGCCTTCGTCCTCGTCCTTGTTCGCGTCCTTGTCCTTGTCCTTTCCTTGTCCCTGTCGTCCTCGTCCTTGCTCCCCATTCTCTGCATGTGGTCATTCAAACATCTCGCGGGTATCCATCGTAGTCTTCCATGGCCTGGTCCGGGATTGCTCCCATCTGCGAGGGATCGAGATAAGAAATTGAATGCGAGAGGAGGTTTGCAGGAGGCGAGAAGTAAGGTGAAGCAGGCTAGGGGACGAGGAGGAGGGAGAGGGAAGAGGGAGAGGAGAGCGAAAGAGAATGAGGAGGGAGAGGAGAGCAAACGAGAATGAGGAGGGAGAGGAGAAGGGAAGGAGGCGTGTAGAGTAGGAAGGAGCACGAGCGAGGAGGGAAGGAGAGGAAATGCGTCTCACATCCGTATTGTTAAAAAGGTTCGGGTTGAAGTTCTCGAGAACCGTCAGAGTGTCGTGCAGGATAGTCGTCGACTTCAGCTCCTCCTGCGCGTTACCAACTTTACACCCCATCCTCCCCATCTTGTTTCTCTTCTCCCACTCCCTCATTTCCCCTTGACTCCACCTCCCTCGTTACTTTCTGCTGTCTTCTTCCCCTCTCCCCTCTCCCCTCTCCCCTCCCTCTTTCCCATGTCCCTTCTCCTGCCTCTAACCTCGAACCTCCCTCCTCTTCTCCCTCCCCAGCCTCCTCCTCTCTTCATCCTCACATTGTAGCTTGGATAGGAAGCTTCAAACTCTTCCATGGTGAAGTTCCGTTCCATGGGAACAAATCCCTTTCTCGCCGACCGGACAGGCTCCAACCCGACAACAACACCAGGTCGAGGTGTGTTGTACCTTGACAAGGATCTTGTGAGGCCACGAACGGGGAGGACGGAGGAGAAGGAGGGAGAGAGGAGCAGTGAAGAAGGAGGAGAGAGGAAGAGTGGAGGATGCGAGACGAAGTGAAGAGTTGGGCGAGAGGGAGAGGAGGAGGAGAGGTGGAGATTTGGTCACCAGACGGGGACGGAGACATTGCAGCTGGACACATAGAGCTTGGCTGCGACGGCGCCATGATCCGAGGCGAAGGACCCCAGAGCGTTGGGTCCAAGTACGGAATTGTTGACGGATACAACAGCACTGCTCTGAATGTTAGGAGAAAGAAAGGGACGAAGGGAGGAGAGCGAAGGATTCCAAGAAGAGAAGGAGAATGAGAAAAATAACGAAAGGATGGATAGGAAACTATGGGGATAGATGGGAAATGATGCCGATGGAGGGTAAGGGGAGCCGAGGGAAGGGAGGGAGGGGGAGGGAGGGGAGGGGAGGGAGGGGAGGGAGGGGAAGGAGGGGAGGGAGGGAGGAGGGAGGGAGGGAGGGAGGGAGGGAGGGAGGAGGGAGGGAGGGAGGGGAGGAGGGAGGGGAGGGAGGGAGGAGGGAGGGGAGGGAGGAGGAGGGAGGGAGGGAGGGGAGGGAGGGAAGGGAGGG